ATTTGCCATCCAAATATAAAAGCTCAAGAAAGAGATTTGTTCAGGCATGACGGAGTGCACTTGTCAGATGTAGGTAATGATGTTTTCTTATATAATGTTCAGGGAGCTTTGGAGTTGTTTGCAAGTTCTGACTGTCGAGTATTTCCTAATTAGTGAGTTAATTGTATTTTAGTACGGGTAGTAAACTCGTTTCGTTGGGGATGAGAGTGTATAGACCTTCTCATTTGGTGGGATCTGGCAAGATGACAGGGGGGTCATGACCCTATAATTCTACGTTAGACCATTTGTTAAAATATTCTCCTGTGGTACCACAGGGAAGTTGTGTTTTTTTATAAACGACTTTCCCTTGTTTACCAGAGAGGCCGGTTCATCACTGTTACCAGTTTTGAATTTTATCCTCCGAGTACCGAGGAAGCGTTATTCAAGTTATGGCCTAGCGTCAGTGTGTGGTCGTGCTCCTCGTTCACTCTAATTTTCCTAGAGGAATTTTTGTTACTTCTGTTACCAGAAGAACACCTACTTGCCAATATTAAAAATGCCGGCGGTTTGTATCGTCTTGCCAGACCTCGTTTACTGTTTTTTTCCCTGCGGCCGATTTTATTCCACTTAAGATTTCTTGAATTATTTAGTTTTAATGAGTTGCGGAATGATCGCCTGTGAGACAACTCGATTGTACAAACAACGTTGGTATTAGCATCTAAAGGTAACCGTACAACCTTCAACAATGAGCAAAACATTTACCATATGCGGCCGGTTTTATTCCACTCATTATTTCTTGAATTATTTTAATCTTTAATTAATAATGTTTATCGGTTTACTGATAATACAGGTTTAATAAAAGTTATAATTCCGTATTTATTCTCGAGTCCCCCCTTTTATCTTTACATTCTGAACTTTGACCGTGTCTGTCACGTGACTTTAGCGTATTGTGACGTCACTTCCAAATTTTCTAACGTTTGAACGGGAAGCTTGTTCAATCCCACCCACCTACCCCGACAATCTCCTATTTTGGATTATTTTTTCTGCTGTTGTTTTTTAATGTTTTTCAGGTATATGCCTAGTGAGTTTAGGAAGGCCGGAAACGGATCCAGCTGGAGACAATTGATTTTCGGACTAAATGGAGTATGGCAATTATTGTAGAGGATGAACTTTTCGACTCGTCTAGAATAACATAATATTGCAGTGGTTGTGTCCAGTTATATCCTGAACTGTTATTGCAATTTCACGTTTTTACGAATGCTTTTAAATTGAGGATGGAACATTTTTATATAAATAATTGATACTGATTTCAAACAGACAGTGCTAGTTTTTACGCATCTTATAATCTGCTGATGTCTTGATGGTGGACGTTTACTAAGAAAGGAGAAAACTTTTATTTCTAGAATTCAACTCTATAAACATATAGATGTGTGCGTTTCCATAAAAGGATTTCTTTTTAATGCATTTTGCTATTTTTCATTGTTTGTTAGTAATATCTTTAATAAAACAGTTGTCGCAGTATTAGTGCAGAGGCGGGATCTGACAAGATCACAGGGGGGTCATGACCCTATAATTCTACGTTAGACCATTTGTTAAAATATTCTCCTGTGGTACCACAGGGAAGTTGTGTTTTTTATAAACGGCTTTCTCTTGTTTACCAGAGCGGCCGGTTCATCACTGTTACCAGTTTTGAATTTTATCCTCCGAGTACCGAGGAAGCGTTATTCAAGTTATGGCCTAGCGTCAGTGTGGGGTTGTGCTCCTCGTTCACTCTTATTTTCCTTAGAGGAACTTTTGTTACTTCTGTTACCAGAAGAACACCTATTTGCCAATATTAAAAATGCCGGCGGTTTGTATCGTCTTGCCAGACCTCGTTTACTGTTTTTTCCCTGCGGCCGATTTTATTCCACTTAAGATTTCTTGAATTATTTAGTTTTAAGGAGTTGCGGAATGATCGCCTATGAGACAACTCGATTGTACAAACAACGTTGGTATTAGCATCTAAAGGTAACCGTACAACCTTCAACAATGAGCAAAACATTTACCATATGCGGCCGGTTTTATTCCACACATTATTTCTTGAATTATTTTAATCTTTAATTAACCCGCTATACGGTATACCCTTTACGTCAAAATGCTACATATTTGGGACATCAAGGGTTAAAATATAATTTCAAAGCAGGTTACTCTGGATCCTTATCGGTGGATATCTTTTATATAATTAATGTACCAAAGTGTTACGGTCCATCTTTTCCTGGTTATGGTGAAATGTTATTCACAAAGTTTCATGTTCATTGCTTTTCTACTAAGTGTATGCCTTGTGCATAAAAGAAGCATTATTCCATACATATTTTTAATTCTGAGAAGATACCAAGAAGGCAAATCAGGCACTGTAGCTTGAACTAAATTGGACAATAAGGTGACCAAAAGAATAACGACAAACATAACATCAGTCCGCAAAACGCATCACACATGTGAAATAGAGGCGGAAGATACAAATGGGAGACAGACAAAATCACGCCAAAAACGAAAAAGAATAAAATACAAACAACAGTCTACAATAAATTGCATAAAATCTTATGACAAACCATCACGAATCCAATATCAAACCAGGGTGATTTCAGGTGTTCCGTAAGGGTAAGCAAACCCACACATTCGGGCAATTCAGCTTCTCTGTTTTCATTAACGATCGACTTAAGAATTCTACAAGCAAAGTTCTAAAATAAAGGACTTACAATGGGAACAGAAACATCAACCCAATCGAACCCAACGAACAATGTCTCTCCCTTGGACATCTTTTTCACAACAGTAAAAATTTAAATCAAACATCTGTCTTGAAAAATTGAATTATTAAAACAGAAGCACTTGCTATTCTACTTTAACCTTTCCATCAACAAAGGAAAAGAAAAAGACGAAAACCAAAACAAATTTCACAAAACTAAACATCGAGGAAAATGGACAACAACGAAAACCAAGGGTCAACCCACTTGACCTAGAAGGTAAAACAAACCGTGTTCTACCAGGGACAGAAATGGGGATAGTGACAAACGACGAAACGATGGTTGAATGATGGCTCCTAAAAGTGAAACTTAATAATGCAGAACTTTAAGGTAAATTCAACTAGAGGCCCTAAAGGTCCTGTGTCGCCCGCCTTGATATATGTCCATCTGCAACAATGGACACTCTCCGACATAGTAAATTAGAATATAATTCATGACAAAAAGTTAATTTTTGTTTCTCTGTCTTCTCTATTTTTGCCCACACCACAAAAAGTGTAAAAAAATCGTCAATTACGGGCAATAACTCATATCAAGAGTCTAGTAACAATTTCATCAAAATTTGACCCATTTGTAGAACTTATCTTGTTGATAATGTTTGCTAATTAAAGTGTCTTTCTAACTTTTAATATTTTTCAAGATAATAGACAAAAACGCAAAAAATTGGTAAAAATCGTCATAAAGATCGCCTACTCTAATAAAGAGTCGACTGTAAAGTCATATAAAGTTATTGGTAAATATTGTCTTGATGATCTTTTTTGCTATTTTAAGTTTCTATCTACATGTATATGTTATAGTTTTCAAGAAAAATATATAAAACTAGCATTTTACTCCTATGTTCTATTTTTTGGCCATGTCGGACATGTTATTTGGCAAGCGAGGTCATCGGACACATTTTTACAACAAGATACCCTAATGATAATTGTGGCCAGTTTGGTTAAATATGGCTCAGCAGTCTCAGAGGAGAAGATTTTTGTAAAAATTAACAGACGATGCACGATGAAAGACATATTCTTGACTTGGTACAGGCATTTTCCGACTCAAACTGTCGTCTCTTGTAGAACCGACTTTACTCCAGATATTTAATGGGGTTCATGTTACACAGTTGTCAGTTACCGTGTTGTTTTCTATGGACTGTTCTATAATTTTATATCTTTATTCTTTTTGGGCATGGTCGTGGTTGTCTGTCCTCTTTGTCTTGTGAGTTTTGTCTAAAGCATGGAAATTCTTACTTCTTTATCTTGAAATAAAATTCGAACGGTCTGTACATCTACATAAACCAAAAAATAGTTTATAATAGAAAATTTGTGGAACGATTTCTGCTATGATAACACCATTTCATTTTTTTTTGGGGCGTTTCTGATTGGGATAGATCAACAGATTTGATTTGGACGCACGCATTTGTATAGTTTTATTGTCATTATGTATGCCCTTGTATTTATATCTTACTTAATTTGCACTTCATCGGGAAAGTGTGTATATCATGTATGTGTTGGTATATTTAACTATACTGTACTATCATCTACATAAATAAATTGTTGACGCCGTTGTTAGATCTAATTGTATGTTTGTTTTGATTTTTAAAGTCAGTTGTGTTGTATATTTATGATATATGTTTACATATTCTAGGCTGCTGGTTACCAATTATTGTCACGTTAAAATAATATGTCTGTTTTGGGTTCCTCATAGAATTTTGTCAATATAACAAAACTATAACTATAACTGCTGGACAAGTTGTAGGTTTAACTAGCTATACAACTAGGTTTAACCTACCATTATTTCGGGGGGGGGGATTCCTGTACAAAGTCAGGATTATGATATTTAATTTCCAGTCTTACGTTGGTTGATAAAGTTGAGCCTTTGGTTTTGTCAAGTTATATGGACTTTTCCTTTTTGAATTTACCTTGTAGTTTGATATTTTGTTAATATATTTCTACAGATATATATATTGAATGCTTGCCAACGAGACAATTATACACTATGCAACAAAAGAACCCGGATGTTAAAAGCTGTTATTTCAATTGATATTGTTTGCACGAAAGCCCCGGATTGTTAAACATAATTTTGACAACACAATTATCAACTATATATTAAGATTTCCTTGTGAATGATATGATCAAATACATTTGCCTTATACAATACACATTTTACTTAACAATTTCCTTTATTTAAAGTTGAACCTAAAAAAAAAGTATGTTGTACATCATAACAAAGGAATACATAGAAACTGTCTCAAGTTAAAAGACATCTCAATTGAGTTATGAGGAGATAAATCTTAAACAGCATTTTTGTATCGAACGGAAATTTTAAGTGTAAAGCAATTTTTAAATTAAGAAAATGACGACTGCACTACAGTTGCTACTTTTATCCATTAGCATATTATTGCTTAATGGGGAACATTCAATGTCTTGTACGTATAGTAGGAATAGAAAACATAAGCTGGTTGCTCATTGTGAAAATCAACGATTTACATCTGTGCCAATGAATCTCAGTCGAGAAATTGACGAATTAATACTTTCAAATAACCTAATACGCGTGTTGACAAACAATTCATTCTTCAATTATTCGAAAATGGAAAGTCTGATTTTAAGCAAAAGTAATATATCGGAAATTCAAGAGGATGCTTTTGCTGGATTGAAATCACTTAAAGTTTTGAAGGTAAACGATAATTTCATTAACATCAAAATCCTCACAAAGAAAGTTTTCAGTCATCTAAGTAATTTAATTGTCCTTAATATTAGTCGAAATAAAAAGCCATTTTATCCAAACAGTCCGTTTATTTATCCTGATGTCACACTTTCTACATTGGAACATTTACGAAATCTCTCGATTGATTTATTTATGTTCCCTGTATTTGGAACAGGATTTACTTCACTTCAGAACCTTACCTCGTTAAACTTTGAACAATGCTATTTGTATAATAGTAGTGGATTTAAGCTAATGAACTCAACCTTTAAAAACTTTTCACCGAACCTGAAAGAACTCTACATCAGAGGCTGTCACCATTTTTTTCTAATAGAGGATGGATTGTTGGAATATTTTCCTAACTTAAAAATTTTAGATCTGTCAGAATCCTACGTTCACTTGTATCAAGCAATGCGTATTCTACATCCATATCAGGATAAGAACATGTCTGGTTTAAACTTTCACCACATAACTGATAGTTCAATCAATGGAAATGATTTTCCGTACTCTGTTTTTATAACAGTAGCTTTAATGAAATATCTAAGAACTATTTGTATTGATTCATTGGACTTGTCGAAAACAGGAATTGTGGATTACCAACAAAATTCTTTATTTTCCTTCGAACACCCAGAATGCTTCAACACTTTCATTATATCTGCCAATAGACTGCCATCTACGACTGCAGATCACTACATTGAAGCTATTACATTTGCAAGAAATGCAGTTAACATGAAGGTTTATGATTTTTCATACCTTACTGCAGATTATTCCCATCCTGCTTATTTAAATGTTTACGACCCGGAAGCCTTCTATCATTTTTCAAAAAGGACCCAAAAAATTGAAGTCCATCCGAAAATAAAGTTTTCTCTTCCGTCCTCTATTGAATTTCTTCGATTTAGTTATATGGTATCCACGTTGAACTCAGCTTCTGTCACATGTGCGAACACATCGCTTACATATCTTGATGTTTCATTTAGTGTTTACCACTATTTTCCAGATTTGACGAACGACTGTGGAAAGCAACTGGAATATTTAGACGTTTCTGGAATTCCGGTAACAGTAGTTACATTCCCGTCAATACTCTTGCCAAAACTATCTACATTAAAAATGACCAATGCTCGCATAGATCAGGCAGTACTTAAAGGTAAACAATGGATTTTTTTTATAGCTCCAGAGATAAGAAAAATAGACATATCTTTTAATAATCTCTGGACTTTGGAGGAATCAACATTTTTAGGTCAGCCAAATATAACACATCTTAATATGTCAAACAACCTTTTAAGGACCATTCCAACTTTTGTTACGAGACTTGAAAAGTTGGAATCTTTGGATCTTTCTGGTAATTTGATTACTTCTATAGATGGTAAGATAAGGCTTTGGATGGATAAAATGATACTTTCAAATCGCAGTCTTCTCCTGAATTTGAATAACAACGCTTTGGTATGTTCATGTGATACATTGGGCTTTCTTCTGTGGTTTGCACAAACAAAAGTAACATTCTATAACGGAGACACTTACAACTGTACAATGTCAAATGACAAGCAAGCCGTATTAAGGGAGGTAATACAAAATACAAAGAAAAACTTTTCAGACTGCAAATCTACTATGTGGCTTCATGTTGGAATAGTATTGGTTGCAAGCACTTTCTGTATTTTAATACCTCTTATAGTCATTTATAACTATAGATGGAAAATAATTTTGTACATTTATAGGAAAGTCAGACGGGTTGTTGAGAAAGATTTACACGAAAACTTTATGTACGACGCATATTTTTCATATGAAGAAAGAAGCGTTACATGGATAAAAAAGTTTCTTCTTCCAAAAATTGAAGGAGAATGGGGGTTAAAGGTGTGTTTACACGATCGAGATCTTCTTCCTGGTGATATAACGGCAGATGCTAAAGCAGAATCAATTCAGCAAAGCAGACATTTTGTTTTCATAATTACTGAATATTTTACCAAAGGAAAGTGGGGAAGATTCGAAATAGATTGAGCAAAGTACGAAAAATATACTACACACCTTAGAAAAATTATTGTTATTTTACAAAATATTCAAATCAAGGATATTCCAGAAGAGATTGTGAACATTTCAAATGATGTATGCTTTATTGAATTGTCATTTGTCAAAAGGGAGACTGCTGACAATAAAGACAATGGAAGCCAATGGCTAAAATTGAAGGCCCTGCTTTATTTGAATTAGAAAATACAAATGTTTGATGAACGAAGGGATTTAAATCATTTTGCAAATGGAGAAATGGGTCTCTAAAAACAAAACTGTATACTAGTATACAACGATTCTAGATATAACAAACGTTGTCATTGAAAGCCATATATTCACGAAGGGCAGATCCTAAAAAACTAACAATAACAGTACACAAATTACTAAACCGGAAAATTTATATAGAACAACATGAAAATTGGAAAATTCTTGAATATATCGAATGATCTAAACTTTATTGAAAAGCAATTTGCCGAAAAGCAAAAAAGGTGAAATGCAGCCAACAGTTATATTGAGGGCTCTGCTCTAACTGAATTAAAAGATATAAAAAGTCATGAAAGCAATATTCTTCAATTAAAACATTGTGACTTTGCCTTTAAATTTACAAAACTGTATAAAATAAGACGATAATATGGTTTAATCAAATTCATTGGTCTAATGTAGGTCAAGCAGCACCATGACACCAGAAAAAGACGAAAAGACAAACAACAGGGCACAAAATACTACGCAGTAATATTTAGAGTAAGCAACCAAACACAACTCACACTTTGGGGTGTAATAAGATTTACGAACGTGTAAGCAGTTACTGCTCAACTAGTGGTATGCTTCATGTTGCTCATCTCTTATCAACAGGTTCAGTACTTTGAGCTTGCTTTCAATTACTTGAATATATTTTTTAAAGTTAGTTTTTTTATTGTTTTTTTTGTTATCATTTATGTCGTTATTTTCGAGTTTTTACTATATGCTCTTTTATTTACGTTTTATTAATCTGTTAATCAAGATGAGAAAGAGAATGATTTTGATATCATACACTAGTTGAGATCACCCACATTTTTTGGTGGGGTTCGTGTTGCTTAGTCTTTAGTTTTCTATGTTGTGTCATCTGTACTATCATTTGTCTGTTTGTCTTTTTATTTTTGGCCATGGCTTTGTCGGTTTGTTTTCGATCTATGAGTTTGACTGTCCCTCTGGTATCTTTCGTCCCTCTTTTTTTAGCCCCGCTTCATTTTCATAAACCTGTCCCTAGTCAAAAACTATGTCAGTAGTGTCGCTTTTCATATTTTAACGTTTTTCGTCATTTGAAGAATTAAGTGTCAATGACAGATCTATGATTGTTTCTGATAACTTCATTTGCAATTTTATCAGACTCGAGACGATTAGATGCTTGGCACATTGTATAGCTTATTGTATAGACTATCGTCTTTCGTTCAAGACTGTGTGTAGCTTTCGAGATGTACTTTTGCAATTTTTGTGTTGTTTTGTCTTGTTGACGTATACCCGAAACAAAATTTTGTTTAAATTAAAATAGGAAGGGATTGTAACTTCGACAAAAAGAAAATACATGTGGTCATCTGGGTATAAATTTTCCGTTATAGCCAAGCTTTTAATTTTGACGTCTGTAAAACATTCCAAGACTGCATATAAGGTCTTTACACTAAGTCCGATGAAGGTGTACTGAATGAAATTTTAGCCTTGTAGAACTTAATTTTTTAATGATATTGGGTTTTGAACTAGCTTTTTTTCCTTTTTTTCGTTTTTTACAAATCTGAGCCTTTCCATGTGATTGTGTTGTTAGTTTGGGGGTTAAACGCTTACAATCTGATTATGCCAATACCTTTATTCCAGTGGTTGCTGTTCCTAACTATATGGCATGGTTGTTTTTGTGTATTCTTGTATTATGAATCAGGCCGCTGTTTTGGGTTTTTTTTTTTTTTGTTAAAATTGTTTCACATTTTGTCATCCATTGCCTTTTATAGCTCAATTTATTGTATGTGTATACGATGACCTTTAATGTTCACATCTTTGTCCTTTTGTCTTTGTAGATAATTGTCTCATGGATATTCATACCACATCTTCTTATTTTACAAGTTTATCTAAACGACATGCTGTTGCAATGTACAACATTTCATACTAAAACGGCAATTAAAATCTAATCCGTTTCGAACTATCTAACTCTAAATCAAAATAAATGAAATGCGTAAAACAGTTTCGCCCTTGATTTAAAGTACAAACGTAGCATCAATTTATGCATAAAAAACATTAGTGGGTTTATATTTTTTTATTATTACGCATGAAAAACGGTGTCATAAATGTTTTACAAACGAGCAGACATATAATTTGTGAAAGCATAATTATGAAGAAAAAACAATATATGACACTTAAATTTGACTTTTCTTCCTTAATATTTGTAATTGGATACTTTTTATCAAATTATAAAAACCATTCGGAGTTGTTTCAATGTTACGACATAAACCATTTTCAAATATATTTTAGGGAATGCCCCTGTTTTAAGTTTTATTATTATATGTCTTTATTTTTATTTTGTGCCATTACGTACGTTAAGACTGGTATTGAATACAAACTATGTGTATTGCGCAATAATTTAGTAACATTTGTTATTGAATTTTTTGTTCACATTCAGAAGTAGATTTTTAATTCATTTTCTGTAAGGTTAACGGGTTTAAGATAAGAGTTGACTTTGAATCTTAGTTCTAGCTTAATGGTTACATAAACCTTTATCAGGCAACTTCTATTTTATTGCGCTTTAAGTTGACTAGTTTTTTGGGGTTTTTTTTTTTTGTATATAATTTGGTTATATGTTTAGGAATAAGCCATAATACCGCTTGAACCTCAAGGTATTCACAATGAATCTGCGATGGTATACATTTTAGTATAGCTTGGAAGACTTTTGAAAAAGGTCCCAGACCCTGTATACCTTCTTATGAAAATCAAATGCACCTTTTAATGCATGAATATCGTTAGTTATCCTGAAACTTCACGTGTCGAATTAATTGTAATGTGAATTGGTTTTACTTTTTGGATTTTTTTTGGGGGAGATTAGGCTCAATTTATTGCAGGGGTTATATTTTATTGTATTGTATTGTATTGTATTTTAGTGTATTGAACATGCAGAGCGCTCACAAACATGTTTAACCCCGCCACATTCTTTATGTGCCTGTCCTAAGTCAGGAGTCTGTAATTTAGTGGTTATCGTTGGTTCATGTCTGTCATATTTGTTTTTCGTTAATTGTTTTGTTATGAATTAGGCCGTTAGTTTTCTCAATTGAATTGTTTCATATTTTTCATGTCGGGGCCTTTTTTAGCAGACTATACGGTATGGGTTTTTCTCATTGTTAAAGGCCGTACGGTTGCCTATAATTGCTTACATCCACTTTATTTGAACTTTGGTGGATAGTTGTCTCATTGGCAATCATACCTCATCTCCTTATTTTTAAAGTCTAGTTTGTAAACAGACCAAACATACAAGTGTTTACTATACATTCAAACATATAGCACATATATGATTATTAAAACCAATCCTGGGCCATTTCTGGAATACTGTATACAATAAGTTTATTTTCACATAACTGAATTTCATTTACAATTCCACGGACTTCAAGAGAAATCGTCTCAAATAAGACTAAATTCTAAAAAAAAAAATATTGTCCCTTTTGAACAAAACACGAGCACAAGAATATTTTCTTTTATCACAGTGGTCTATAGTTCAAATAAACGTTTCCTACTCTTATTTAAATGGTCTGCCTATTTGTTGACAATATAAGTATTTTCATTTATCATCAACCGTATACATGTATCAGTATTTGATAGATATATAAAATTTGGACAATGTCGTTTAATGCATTTTATGACCAATTTTCTCCGTTTTCTTTATATTTTGGATCTTCAATAAAAAATGTAAATAAAGTCAGAACATCATGTATGATTGTTAATCTGACAGACCATTGGACAAGCATGTAAAAAAATACAGGTCACTGCACTGTCTTCAGCCATTAATAAAACCCATGCCGTTGTCAGTTATAAAATTCCAGAGAAGTTCACTTTCCATGCCAATAGTTGTGCATATATTACATTTTCTGTCATCAACTTCAAACTCTCTCGATTTCAAAGAAATGGGAGTTGATTCTAAAGGATCTTAAACATATTCTCACTCCAAAATTATTGATACTAGTTATACAGATTTGTTTTATAAATTCATGCTTGATTAAAGCAAAAGTACGTATGTTTTTATATTTTCTTAGTAGAACCATGGCCGAGTTATTTTTTAATTGTGTAGTTCACATTCAGACAATAGGACAAGCCACGATAATGAATTATCATGGCCCTTCGAACCAGGTTAGCTAAAAATTAAGTAAAATTTAGCTGATAACAATTTGCTTAGTTTTATATCTTTGTTTAGATATTTACAGCATACCTACCACATCAATGGACAAATGCGCTGCAAACATGAAAGTCGGATATGTCTTTGCAGCACAAAATTTGAGTGACAATTTTAAAAATGATGTGAAACCGAATCATAGTACGTCACATCCGGTTTCATACGAAAAAGGATCGAACAAAATATTCCCTTCAATTTGACAGTTGTAGGAAATTAACCCTGCATTTCATTGCAGAAAAAAAAATTCTGAGTCATAAACATATATCTTGGGTGTTTCAAAGCACCATTCTTTTTTTATTTGGTGTTTCTATAAAATATTTTGGAAACTTAAGGTGGCATGGTTACTAAAGCTTGTTAACAGGAAAAAAGGGGTGAAAAATTGATTGGTTTACTTCCGGTGATGTTTATTATCTTATGCAATGAAATGTTATGTGAAATTTTTACTGTAGTACTGCACATGATAAAACTTTACTCGTGCCAATTATATCTTTATTTGAAACAAAGATAAATTCTGCACAATTTATTGAAGAATGCTAATTTAACAAAGACTAATAGGAGAAAAACAATGGTGGTATTACTCCTATTTAGGGAAGCTGCACATGCACCTTTGACCTCTCATTTTTTTTTAAATTTCATGCTATTTCACTGAAATATTGCAAACATGAAATGTTCTAAGGGATTGAGTTTCAAAAACACATTTGAGGGAAAATTGCCTTGAAAAAGGGCTTTACCATGAATATTAGTAGGCAGAGCAAGCCATACTCAGTGTTTTGAGGAGCTTTTTCTGACTTTTTCTCCTTATTTTCTATATTGGACTATTTCCTAAGTAATTCTTTAAAAATATGTTGTAATAATAAATGAAATGTATTTTGAAGCAGTAGCAATACATTATTTACTAAAAGGGAACCATTATATGTTCCTCTTTACTTGGTCCACCATATATTCTATTGTAATGTGGCATGATTTAGATTTTTCGAAGAAATTTTGCTCAAATCGCTGTAGATGTTGTCTTACATTGTAATAAATTTCTCTCAAACTATTGAACTGATTATGACAAAACTTGACAGTAATGCTTGAAATAACCAGTACTTCAAAGAAATAATCACATTGAGTTTATTCAACAAGAAAGTCTTCCTTATACTGGTTGAACTCAC